TCGAATTATCAGGTAGGAAAGAAAAAAGAATATGTCCCAAAAATGGAACACCCTAATATTCCAATGTTCCTTTGTAATTACACAAAACAATTGAACACTCACCATCAATTACAGCCAGATGACACCACCTGCAGATGACAGAAAGCCTCCGAAACCAAAAACCCTCGCGCTACCACCACTTATTCGCATTCGCAAGATCCGGTAACGTGAAATTTACTTTAGAGACTGAAGACGCAAGCTTGAGCTTGCGAGGCATACGACGAGCTTTTTTCAGCGCAGAATCGAACTCTGGGCGGCGCGAGATTACGTTACGCGCGACGCGAAATTTTCAGCAGGATTACAGGTTGCAGGATCGTTTTGTACTTCGCGACGCCCGTCGTGCGGTCGTGGGTCGATAGAATGACGAAGGTGATACAGAGTGGACTAAAATTGAGCATCAACAGTGCAGGGAAAAGCAAGCTAAGAGACTGGCTAATTTACCGAGCTCTAACAGCAAAATTGCAATTTTGGGAAATGTAGTAGCAGGGGAGCCTACGATGCAAAATGGGGATTTACTCAAGCGTCATTGAGACAAAGGTTGCAAAGCTTAGATGATAAGAAGAAAAAAATGTTATATTCTGATCCTTTATCCCTCACAGGCGGCCTTATATATGGTAATCAACCGGGTACAAGGTATCCCCCTGTATATTAACCTGCCGCGCTTTAGTAAATCCCGAAATCCCCGCTTGGGCTCTCTTATTCTAGTGGGACTAACGATAAGCCTATTTGCGGACCCCATGACACCGAAGTACACTTTCGACAAAACTTGCCCCAAACCATGGAGAGTGGATGATAAACAGCCATTTCGAGAACATGCTTGGCAAAAAATGGAATGGGAACTGGGATTTTTTCTACTACTTGGGAGCCATCTGACTGGTCTACTTCTACCAAGTATCTGGAAAACACTGCAGCCTTTTGAGCCTTTTTCCCACATTTTTTTCATGACTTCCATTTCAACAATTGTGCCCTGTACTAGTTTGTACAGGCCACTTGATGAATGTATGTCATATTCTTTTTGACATAATTTGGGTTTTCCATAAGTTGTTTGCTCCGGTGCCTCACATTCGCATAACTGTCTCTATCACTTTTCTGTATTTCTTGTAGTTAAGGTCTCCCTTGTGCAGCCCTATTTTCTTCAGGTGTTCTGTCAATAGATAGTGTCTAGTGAGTGTAATTGTTCTGAGCCAATCTCTGTATTGTTGAAACAGAACTTAACTTTTCTTCTCGGGCAATCCCGAGTATATTTTTCCAGTATTCTAGGACAGCAAACAAGATTGTTGAAATGGATGTTATGATAAGATGGGAGAAACCTCAGAAAGTCCATGATGTTGCAATGGTTCTCGGGAACTTAGAACATGTGAAAAGTCAGGCGACTTCAAAATAGAAAAACAATTGAGAATTGATCAAAGTCAAAACTATATTAAACTGTGTAAATGATAATAATTTCAATTCACTACTGCTTTGAAAACACCAATAAACAAGGCTTGAGAATGGCTAATTTTGATATTTTCATATTTTGACAATTGATATTTATACTAATCTATACTATTTTAATATAATTATAAGTCACAAGAAGGATTTGAAGCTTTATAACTTCTATTTAATTATATGCGAGTGCTTTCGACAGCTTTTTACGCTATACAAAGAAGCTACCTGTATATTTTAAAATTCTAGATTCGGCTGTCCGTTAATATGAGAGTGTCAGTCAATTAATGGTTACCCATTTATACAATACTGTATAGCTGTTCCCTGCTTTTTACCCGTGTTACCGTGTGAATCGGCTCTATGTGTTATTCCAGGTCTTGATCTATCTATATACCAACTTACATTTGAATCCGTTGAGCTGTTTAGGCGTGAAGAAGTAAAAAACGTCAATACATACATTATAATATTCATCCATCCTCACAAACTTCATGCATTCAAAATATTAGTAGAAACAGGAGTCGTAGAATTATCAATGTATTTTATTCTAATCCTTTCAGTTTTTTTTGCCCATACTATTCAATATTGTGTTGACTGACAATAATGTATTGATTGATCGACTGAGACTCTTATATTACAGCGGAAGCTACTGAATCTACAATCTTAAAATATGCAGGTAGGTTCTTTATATAGATTGATTAAGCATCAAGAAAGGGAATCAGGAATTTTCACGTCCAAGGGAGAAAAATAGCGGTTTAAAGATTGTATTGAAGTTTTGGGTTGATAAAAACATATTGTAACTATATTTGTTTAAACTGGTCTGTCACGAAACTATATGTGACAAACCAAATTCTACGCTGGCAACAGCTAGCTTTATTCATAAAAGGAGGCTTCAAAACGTCAATGAACGTTTTGTGAACCTGGAATGAGGAGGTAATGGTTTTCGATTGTCAGGTTACCGTTCGTTTGATTTCCATTTTTACTTTTAGTTTATCAAAAGTATTTTCGAGAATGTTTGTACTGTAGATGTTTCATTTGCCTTTTTAGACATAAACAGGAATAAGATGGAGGATTTTTTGTTGTGTCCCAACAGATCCCCAGTATATAAAGTTCATGTATGAAATTGAAAGGGGAGATACTATTCATGGATGTTCCAGTTATAAAAAAAAAGTATGAGAATTTAGAACTTGACGGCTCCCATCATTAGGTATCCACAACAAAAATGGCGGGACCACTTTCTTTGACCTTAAATTGGTCACGATCCTCTTCAAACACATTTATTACAAATTAAAATAGGAGACTGTATCGAGGAGAGATAATTACCTATGACAGAAGTAATATTTCGAAATAAAACCTAGAAAGATTCATCTCTCCTGAAGTACCTACACCGTAGGTTCTGTTAACTACTTCCTCGGCGTTTGGTACCTCTTGAGAAATGCGACTTCACCAAAGATACCGAAGCCGCTGGCTGGTTTATTCTAAAAGTCTAAAAGGTGCACTGTGTTTATATTGTGTATCTACTATTTCCACCAAACTTAGTAGCTGGAGTTTTGGATTCATTTGTAACTGGATCGTTTTGACGTTTTAAAAATATTCATGAATACTGCGTTAAGCATGTCTCATCACAATATCATAAATCTGCAGTCGATGCAATCAATTTTTCGTTGCAAATGTCTGTGGATGTAATGATGAATACGGCTCATCAGCAGGAAATTGAGAAAAATAAAAACATAGTGTTCTCTATAATTTCCACAGTTATTTTTTTGTAGCACTCATGAATTGCCTTTGAGGGGTGAAGAGAATCATGCATTCTTGAAGAACTTTCAAATCTGAGACTTGAATCTGGCGAACAAGATTTGAAACAGCATCCCGAACATGGGAAACAAAAATGCCATGTATACAACCCCACATATTCAAATCGGAATTATTGGTTTGTAGGACTTTTTCGCAAAGGATGAAATTATACAGGTTGCAAAACAAGCTTATGCCGATAGTGTCATGGCAGATGAGTCGTGACATAGCTGGAAAAGAGCAGCATTTCATTAGAATTCATTTTTGTGAGTGAAAATCTGATACGTGAAGAATTTCAAAGATTCGTAAAATTGAGGCTATAGTATTGGATGCCAATTCTATAGCGTCAGAAATTGATAAGAAAATGCAGGACTTAAACCTGATATTTGTTTGAAGGTGATTGACAATGTTTCATGATGAATTTCATTAGTCATTGTCTGATATTATATAAAATGATTTGAAATCCCCGAAAGAACTTCGGTATTATTATGTCGTATTTTCAAACATTAACTTGTTTTATATTGTTTTCTATGCATGTTTTCTAATTTGTATTATTGTATATTGCCTTTCATTCATTTATTTTGTATTTTTTTATTGTATCGAGTGAAATGAGTTTGAACCCGTAAATAAATAAACAACTTTCTACACCTGTAAATACCTATTTCATTTTAGTTATGTTTCGATTTTGGAAACTGTTAAGTGAAAATTTCACAATAAAATGCTACTCAAATATGTTATCATGGATTATCAAATTGACTAAAAGAACAATTCGTTCAGGCCAGTCTCTATTGATTTACAGCCAGTCTTCAAATATGTCTACTCATTCTGTAAAATTTGTCATGGATTATTAAGTATCTGTCAATTCCATCACATAAATCTTTTCAGTACTTCATCTGAATGTAGTTGTTTATTCATATTTAGTAAGGTTGGGCAAGAAGTTGGGTTAGATTATTAGTACCTAAATAAACCACAATGTCATGAAATGAAAGACCATGTCAAATTAAGTTAGGTTAGTTAGGATAGGTTAGATTTCAAATTAAAATTTTGGGTGGCATAAAATATTCATTTTGTTGTT